TTTTATGTCATCATTCTATTTTATGTGCCATGTTGTATGTCTCCTAAATTTGTTTTTGAAATGCATTTTAAAAAAATCAAATTGACTGTTGCCTTTTCTGCTTGTAAACTTGTGAGGTCTTGGTGGACAGGGGACCTCTCTGTGGTTCAGGTGTAGTCTCTGTAGTCAAAGCAGAGAAAACACGTTATCTTGCTGAGGCATGTCATGTGGAAGCAAGCTTGGCTGCTGCAGACAAGGATGCATGGCTTGAAATGGTTTCTGCTGTTATGACCAGGGGCGTAGGGATGGAAAAATACAGGAATCTCGATTTTTTTGCCTTAAGCAGAGTCCCAGATCCTTTCCTCTTAGAATCATGTTTAGAGAGCATCTGTTAAGGTTTTGCCTGTGGTTACTAAATACTATAGCTTCTTGCAGTATTTGCTCATCAAATAGGCATTTATGAGAGATCTACTCCGTGCCCAGCACTGGGAAGGACCCCAGGGGGAGAGAGGGGACACGCACAGGGCAGTGAGGGCAGAGGACAAGCTGAGGGTCAAGTGACAAAACAGCAACGCTTCCCCTGCTTAATCAGGTCTGCATTTAACAAGCGCTTGCCCAGGGCAGGCTGTTTTTAGGCACTGTTGCAACAGTAGATTGAAGATAATCAAACTAAGACCCCTCCTTTCATAGAATTTACATCCCAGTGAAGAGAGAGTTTCAAAACAAGGAAAGATAAGCCCTATAAAGCTGGCTGCTTATCAAGGATGAAGTTTATGGTGTGTAAATTACACCCCAGTAAAAGTTAAAAAACTTTAGGGTTCACCCCAGGACAGATCACCCTCACTCTTTGCGCCTCACGTGTGCACTGCTGCTGCGTGCTGACGTGTACCTGTGACCCCAGCGCCCCATCTCCAGGCGCCTTTGCGGTGTCTGTGGACGGGCATAGGACGGTGGGACGTGTGGCTCACTCGACGAGCACGTCCCGGATGGAGGGGAACCGGGTGACACTCTGCCTTCCCCATCCAGCTTCTGCCATGAGCAAGTGGCCTTCTTGCCATCTGTTTGCTGCCACAGTCTTGCATCTCCGTGCCTTTCGCTGGTGACGTAGCTGCTTACAATGGCCCTCACACGGGGTGCCAGGGTGCTGTCTGAGGATCTTGAGCATGGAGAGGCCAGGATGGGCCTGGCGGAGAACGTGCGTGTGTTAGAGAAGCTTCTTCAGGCTCAAGCCACAAGCTCAGGGTTCATGTTTCAACAGTGTGTGTTCCATGCAGCACCTCTCAAAGGGAACACATGTAAACCAAGGTTACATATTGATCAGTTGATGGAAATGTGCTCAGAAGCCTGTAGGAGTCTAATCCCATGTTCCCCTAGGAGCAGTGAGTGGTCCAGTGTTGCTGGGATCACAGTGATGTCGCAGAACAACAGCAGTAACAAGAATTGACTGGCTATGGAGGGCCAGGCCAAGGGCATTGGTACAGCCCATATACCAGATGGCTGTCATCCCTAAAGCAAAGTGGGATTATTCTTCCACCAGTTAGAGGCTAATGCTCTGGGTGTTAACTCCTGTGTCAATAGCTGTTTCCCTTAATTCAGGGTACAGCTTCTTGTGTAGGATAGCATTCCTTCACATACCATTTTTGTGGATGTGTATATTGGGGCTAATTGAGACAGAAACACAGCTTTTTCTTTATAGTTGATTTACAATGTGGCATTTCAGGTGTCCAGCCAAGTGATTCAGTTATATATATATATTTTTTTCAGATTTTCTACTATAGGTTATTATATTTTTCATATTTTTTCCATCATGGTTTATCACAGGATATTGAGTATAGTTCCCTGTGCCATACAGTAGGTCCTTGTTGTTTATCTGTCTTATATCCTGCCGTTTGTAAGTGCTAATACCATACTCCTAATTTATCCCCCGCCCCCCAGCTTTCCCCTTTGGTGACCATACGTTTGTTTTCTATGTCTAAAAGCACAGCTTTTTAATTTGTTTAAAATAGACTTTCTGCCTGTTACACTTTGTGCTTTTAGCCAATTAAAGAAGCCAGTGGCATTCTTAGTTCTGTCTTGTCTGCGTTTTCTACTTGTGTATCCCTGTTGATTTGTTTGTGCCCTTTATTGTCATTTTCTGAAATTATTTTCAATGAAAAGAAAAAAATGGCCATCTGTCTACATTTCCACGGAGAGGCCATTTTATTTGGCACTTTTCAGCATCAAACTTTAGGGGTGACCCCATGGGAAATAGTAGTGAAAAGGCCTAGTATTTATAGGAAGTTTTTATGATATAGCCCCTTATCTCTCTGTTGGCATCAGTAAAGAAAATGTCAAGCTACACATTCTGTGTCACCATACTTTGAATACTTTCATGTTTGCCGAATGTTTTTATGCCTTGCTCTGTACATTCCTGCAATATCCATTTGATGAACCGAGCTAAGAAAGTGATTTAAACAGTACTTAATAAGTTCTTTTACTAAGTGAAGTAAGTCAAGGAGATAGACAAATACCATATAATATTGGTATATGTGAATATATTGCCTATGTGTGAAATCTAAAATATACAAACAAATTTGTTTACAAAACATAACAGACCTGGAAAACAAATTTATGGTTACCAAAGGGAAAAGCTAGGGGGGCAGGGATAAATTAAGAGTTTGGGATTAGCAGATGCAAACTACTATATACAAAATAAATAGTAAGGTCCTACTGTATAGCACAGGGAACTATATTCAATATCCTGTAATAAACATAGTGGAAAATATGAAAAATGTGTATATAACTGAATCTGATGTACTAGTGCTGTACACGAAAAACTAACACTACATTGTAAATCAACTATACTTCAATGAAAAAAAAATTGGGGGAAAAATGTTGTAGCTCTTTTAAAATGTCTTCACTCTTTAATCCCTTGTGTCAAGTGGTATAAACACAGTCTAAGTTATGATGTCAGAGTAAAATGAAATTAATTCCAAGCGGATAGATGCGTAGGAAAGCTCTCAGAAAACTGATCCCACACAAGCGGGGAGAGAGGAAAACCAAGAATGTAGAGTCAATATTCAGCTCTTAGTTTACATATTTCTGAATTGTTTCAGTTTTTAAAGTATGTGTGTTTCTCTTGAAGTTAAAAATTACCCTAAAACATAAGTTGATTACGTGAAATGAATTCTATGGAGGACACAGACAGAAACTGGCCAGAGAGATGTGCTTTGCGAGGCTGGTGAGGGTGGGTCTCCCATGAGGTGCTCCCAGGCCAGGCTGCACCTGGCCTGCTTTGGGGAGCCTGGTAGGTTGCTGACACCCCTGAGGGGTAGGATTAATTGGGGGTGGTCCAGGAATCGAGATTCTAGAAGCTCCCCTAGATATTTGAACATGCAGCCTGGGTTGGACCCCAACACTGTACTCATGAGACTCTGATACATCTTAGGATGGACTCTGACCAACTTCAAGGGACTGCCTGGGGGTTCCTACAGTTGATGTGAGTCTCTGCTTCAGGGCAGAGCTTCAGGAACCCCAGCAGGAGGGTCTGGAAGGCACATGGCACTGACCAGGTTTTCCTCCATCCCCGCCCAAGATTCAGACCCCGGGAGAGGGTGTCCAATGGGCTGGGGAGAGTGTCTGCCCCCTCCATCCTTCCAGGAGAACGGGGGTCACCAGACCACCATCACCACAACCCAGAACTGGGGAGAGGTGTCTCCTCAGGAAATGCTGGTGCCATTGGGCAGGGGCCAGGGGGTCCTGGTCAACCAGAACCACACAGAGGTCCACTTTAGCCCGCCAGCTTAAAAGGCGAGTGTGTTTCTTGGGTACCACTGGAGGAGACTGTGCCCTAAGAAGTACACAGCATTTGGTTGAGGGGCCGTAGGGCATCCTTCAGCCACCTCCCTGCTGTTTCTGCCACAGAAACCCGTGTTCCCCCACACCCACGGGGCACCCTTCACATCTTTCTGTTTAGAGGAAAACCAGTAACTGCTGATGAAGTGTGCCCAGGGGCCTGCCGGGAAAGGCCTGGGGTCTGGCTACCCCACACCTGGCCTCCGCACCTGCTCCAGAAACATCAGCAACATCTGGGGAGCTTTAAATGATGCTGACAGCTGGGCCATCACCGCCTCCACCCCCTCCCCAGACCAGCTGGGCACCGCAAATACCCGGCCTTTTAACAGACATGGGAAGTGAGCTCCAGGTGTAAGATCGTGGCTCCTGGTTGCAAGGTGGGCAAATGCAGAGGCAGCGTCTGAGCCCAGGCAGTCGGTTCTAGAGTCCAAGCGTAGAATCCCCTCATCTTACAGTCTCTCCTCTGCAGGCTGAACTGCAAGAGGACTGAGTTGGTTGTGAATAACCCAGGTGACAGCCACAGTTTTATCACAGCACCGCCGAGATTTAACAGGCAGCTTTCGAAATAAACAGACCAACAGTATGGGGTGTTGTGTCCTACCATCCCCCCAGTAGAGAAGATGTGAAGTTAGCAGCTGGAGTTCTCTGTTTCTGAGGCTCAGGTTTAGATTTGGGGGGCTGCCTCCCACTGTGCAGTTAACGTGCTGGGGAGCCTCAGCTAGGTCCCGAGTTCTGGAAAACTCTGGAAGGCTGTGACCTTATCTTCTATTAGTTCCTGTCTTCACTGGTGCTGGGTACTTGGAACTAACTTGATAAACACTTGAGTGAATGAATGAATGACGCACAGACAAATGTGTATCCTTTGCTTTTGAGCTCTCTGCCGGTGGGTGGAGCACACCTTGTCACATTCTGTCCTCAGCAAGCACAAGCCTAGCTACCATCCAGGACTTGGGGTGGTTTCATTTGTTTTCAGTGCAGTTACTGGGAGAGATGTCATTAAAGAAAATGGGGAGAAAAACAAACGTTGCTAACTCAGCTCCAGGTGAAACCCTTCATTGGAGAGGCCTGTGGGTCTGAGAATGTGAAAGGCTTGGACTCCAGGACTGGTCGCAGGCTTTGCTGGTGGTTTTCTTTTTTTTTTGATGTGGCCAAGAAGCTAACTTGGAACTTTTCCCTCTGTTTCACAGGTCACTGCCAAGACTGCCTTCCTATTTATCTTACCTCAGTACAATGTTAGCATGCCTACGGCAGGTAAGGAAAGCTCTGGTCTCTCTCTTTCTGGGCCCTGTTAACCCCAAAGTTCTTGGAAAACTTCCTTTTCCTGTGCCATGTATGATCATTTTGGATATCTAGACTCAGCATCCGACTTCCTGTTGCTGAAAAGGTGTGGGCCACGTGCAGCCTTCAGCCAGGGGCTCTGCCAACTTGGGGTTCCGAGGTCCACCTCCAGGAACTGGGTGGGCATCGCTGGGGCCCTCCTGGTGAATAAATGGGGAAACGTTCTTCCCTGAATCCAGTCCTCCTTCCTCATCCTGCAGTGAGGAGGTGAGTTGTCTGGACATGGAGGTAAGATTCCTTTCTTGGCCTGGCTCCACCAGAGGCTACCTGATGGGTATTGGGGGCAAACCTCTTAACCCGTGGCCTCTGCAGGATATGACTGGCGTCTCTCCCAGACTCGGGAACTGCCCCAGCGTTCTCTGTAGCTAGGCTCTAGGGGAAGTCACACCCTGGGGACGGCTTACTCAGCCCTTCATCTAGAATCAGAGCTGGTTGGAGAGGGAGAAAACACCATATTCATGATGGAAGAGACAGGAAATGGCACGGCCAACTCATCCAAGGCACATGCCAGCCTGGTGGGGACATGGACCATCTTGCTCCTTGCTTTGTGGTCCAGGATCAAATTCGGCCTTCTGTTCCTATGTCTCTTGAAAATCATAATAACTGGGACAACTCTGGACCCAGCTATACTTATGATTTATGCATTTAACATTTTTTAAAGTATTTTGGTTTTTTAAAAAATTGGGGTAAAATACACATATCATTCAGCATCTTAGTTATTTTAAAGTGTACCAGTTCAGTGATATGAAGTTCCTTCACCACCATCCATCTCTAGGACTGTTTATCTTGCAAAACTGAACTCTGTAGCTCTTAAATGACTCACCATTCTCCCCTGCCCCACCCCTGCCCACGACCACTCTTTCTGTTGCTATAAATTTGACTCTTCTAGGGTCTCCTATAAATAGAGTCATATATAGTATTTTTGTGTCTGTGATTGGTTACAGTTTAGTTTTAAATGTTTTCCAAAGTACATTTATGACTCTCACAGGAAACATAAAATACAGGTAAGCATAAGATAAAAATCATACATGACTCTACCACCCAAAGACTACAGTTAGCATTTTGTAATCTTGATTCATATAACCCACTTTTCTGGTGTTAGCATATGATGAACCTTTTCCATGTGTCATTCATTATTCTTCCATTCAATTAGGCGTTTGCAAAAACTACAGAAAACTTATTAATAAGGATTGCCACAGTTATGTATTCAGTCACACATTGTTGGATATTTAAGTTCCCAGTTTTTATAGTGCTATAGTAAACATTCTTAGGACTTCCTGCATTCATGATTTTGGTTTTGTTTTGTTTTTTGGGTAAATTCCTATTACTGGAATTTCTGAGCCAAGTAGTATGTACATTATAAAGGTTTTATATATGTATTGCCCAAATACCATCAGGCGTCTAATTCTTATGACCCATAAATCATGTTTTTTATAGGTAGCATCAAATGCATTTTTTTTTTCCCCTGGAAGTCACTCAGTTGTGTCCAACTCTTTGCGACTCCATGGACTGTATAGTCCCTGGAATTCTCCAGGCACGAATACTGGAGTGGGTAGCCTTTCCCTTCTCTAGGGGACCTTCCCAACCCAAGGATCAAACCCAGGTCTCCCACATTGCAGGCGGATTCTTTACCAGCTGAGCTATCAAGGGAAGCCTGAGAATACAGGAGTGGGTAACCTATTCCTTCTCCAGTGGCTCTTCCTGACCCAGGAATTGAACCAGGGTCTCCTGCATTGCAGGCGGATTCTTTATCAACTGAGCTATGAGGGAAGCCCAAATGCATAGGCTTTTTAAAAAGTCAGAATGCCAGTTTATTAATTCATAAAGAGATATCCAGGGGCTTCCCTGCTTGTGCAGTGGTAAAGAATCCGTCTGTAATGCAGGAGACACAGGTTCGATCCTTGGTTCGAGAAGATCCCCTGGGGAGGGAAATGACAACCCACTCCAGCATTCTTGCCTGGAAAATTCCACGGACAGAAGAGCTTGGTGGGCTACAGTCCATGGGGTTGCAGAGAGTCCAACATGACTTAGCAACTAAACAACAACAGTTGGATGTGACTTAGCAACTAAGTCAAAGAGATACAACAAAGAGATATGCACCTATCAGAGCTGGTGCCTGTACTTGCATTGCATTTCTGCCCAAGTCAACTTAGAGGGGCTGCCAGATCCTAGCCCAGCCTTGCTTTGTTAATTACTGGGAGAACGTATAGTCCTGGGGACCACAGAGGTTGAAGCATGTGTGAGCGGGATGTGGCTTTATTGTAGGAAAGGCCTGTTTGTAAAGCCAGATCATGACCAAGGGATTGATTGTTTCAGTTTGAAACTTTCCAGGAGAAATTAGGCCACAAGTGGTATCCTAAAAGTGTCCATCTTCACAGCAAGGGTAACAAGTGAGGCTTCCTGCTCCAGGGCAGAACCCAGAGCTCCTGAGCAGGAGGCACTTCCTATCCTGCCCTCATTTGTTTAACTAAGTAGTTAATTGATTAATCCAGACAAATATTTGTGTGCCTGCTGTGTGCCACCCCTGGACTGTAAAGTAATTCATAAAACACATCTGATCTCTGACTCATGGAACTTACCGTTTATTAGGGAGGGAATAGATACTACACAGCAAACAATAAATAATTACAGTTGTGATATGGGTGGCGAGAGGAGCATACAGGTTGTGCGATAAGGAAACATCAAAGGGTGATTACCAGATGTTTCTGGGAAGCTGCTGTTTGAACTGTGTGTGTGTGTGCAGCTGGTGTGAAGGGGGTTGGGGAGGGGGATATGGACAGAAGAAGGAACATTCCAGACACAGAGATTGGCATGCGCAAAGCCCCCAGGTGAGGTACAGGCACCTCAGGATGTTCTAGGAACTGAACCAAGGCCAGTGTGTCTGGAGCCAGTGAGGTTTGGCATTTTTCTCCGGTGGGGCTATTGAATTGTGTCCTGGAATCCCCATCCAGGCCAGAATAAGGCCTGGGTAGAGGTGGAGGGATGTACTGAAAGAGGAGATAAAGTATTGCTAAAGAGGCTGGCTTTTGTTTAAATCTTGCCACTGGGGCTGTTCAAAATAAGACTGGCACATCACCCAGAGAGACAGTGCAGTTAGAGCAGCCTGCTTCATTTTGCTTTGAGCTCCTTGATCACCAGACCAGTGTGGTGGTGATTGGTTTGTAAGTTGTGGAGGAGGGCCAACTTCTCACCGGAAAGAAGCAGTTCACAACCCAGGGCAGAGGGCCCTTGAAGCTGTGTATTTAAACCCCGCACCAGTGGCAACCCACTCCAGTATTCTTGCCTGGAGAATCCCATGGACAGAGGAGCCTGACGGACTATAGTCCATGGGGTTGCAAGAGTCGGACAATACTTAATGACTAAACCACCACCACCCTCCCCACTTTGGAACTTCCCTGGTGGTCAGCTGGTTAAGAGTCCACCTTCCAACGCAGGGATTCAGGTTTGATCCCTGGTCGGGGAACTAAGGTTCCACATGCTGAGGGGTCAACTAAACCCATGGGCTACCAAAATAAAAATTAAAAAAAAACAAAACAAAACTTAAAAACCCTCCCGCTCACGTATCTTCCAGCCTGCAGCTTCTTGAGTATGGGTCCCATTTGTAGAACCAGGGTTAGTTCTGATTTCTAAGGTTTCTTCTTTCAGTGGCTTGCAACTTGTTCAAATCAACATTTAACCTGTGTATTTTAGGAGAGCAGCGATGGTTTTCATATAACCGGCCTGCTGTTTCTAAATCCCTAACCTCCCTCGGCAGAGGTGTTCAGGTTCTACAGGAAACAGCCAGTGGGAACACTGAGGAGTTTCTTCCCAGTTTCCTTTCCTCCCTCTCCTCTCTTCTTTCCAGCTCCCAGCATGTGTTTATAGGCCAGCGGTGACAACAACATACCACAAGCTGAGTGGCTTAAGCAACAGAAATGTAAAAAGTGTAAAAGTGTAAGATCAAGGTGTCAGCAGGGCTGTGCTCCCTGGCTTGGACCAGCGGGACACCAGTCTTTGTGTTTGCAGCCATCTCTGCATCCAGTTTCTCCTTCTGTAAGGACATCAGTCATATCAGATTAGAACACATCCTACTCCATTATGATCCCATCTCAACTATTCATGTCTGCAATAACTCTGACTCCAAATGAGCTCACGTTCTGAGGTGCTGGCAGTGTGGACTTCACAGGAGTTTTGCTCGATTCAACTCATAATGCTGGCTAATAAATGCATGACTCTGTCACATTATATTAAGCTAGCTAAGAAGATTAAGCTCCATTCACAGAAATGAACTAAAGAGAAGATGGCACAGTCCTTGCAGTCAGAAGTTGTGCATCCGGGGGCAGTGTCAGTGTCCCTGGGGTTTTCTTTAAGGTCAACAGTGATGAGGCAGGAAGTGTTCTTGTCACATCATTTCCACCTGTTAGGGTTGCCAGACTTTGCAAGTAAAAATCCAGGACTATCTGTTAAATTGGCATTTCAGAGAAACCGTACTTTTTTTTTCAGTGTAAGTATATCTCAAAGTATATATGGGGCATAATTATACTAGAAAAGTATTCTTTGTTTATTTGGAATTCAAGTTTAACTGACCATCATGTACTTTATCTGCAACCATATACCCAGCCCTGGCAAGGAATAAAATGTCATGTTTCTGGTCTTAACCATCAGACACTGGAGTCTTTCTGATTCAAATACCCCAGCGTATCTGGTATTATGGCCAGAAGTATATAGACTATAAAAGGTCAGCAAAGAACTTGAGTCCCCCCACAAACAGATTCGTGGCTTCCTGACTCCCTCTTCTGATGTAGAACAGGGGACCCCACACAGGCTGAAATGTACCAGCTTCCTTTGAATTGTTCCAAGAGTTTGCTGAGCCGTCTTGGGCAAACCAGGCAGTGTCAGGGTCTCCATCCTCATCTGTCAAGTTGAGGATGATG